CCTTCCTTCCTTCCTTCCTTCCTTCCTTCCTTCCTTCCTTCCTAATACTGTTAATTTCCAAGAGGGTATTAGAGAAGGCTATGGAGAGGTGGATTCAAAGGGCAAACTTCAGAGGGTGCATGGATATACCCATAGTACCTGTTGGGAACTATGCCTTTTGGTTGCTTAATCGCAAAAAAAGAAACCTTTTGTTTCAGGTTCATTTTGCCAAATCATGATCTCTTGATAGAGGCTAATAGAACTACAGTAAGAATATTTGTTAAGACTTGAGTTTTCTTCTTCTCCCCCAGGTTGTGCCAAGGATTGGAATGGATGACTTCCCGAATCGGAGTAAGATAATTCTTCTGGATTGGAAGTGAGAGTTATCCCATGGACTACCTTTTGTGGTAAACTTGTCTGCTTAGTGTAGCAACAGGTTTGATTTAAAAAGCGAAAAAACTTCTGAAACCTCCACAACAAGCAACACTTGAATCAAGTGCAGCTAATCAAAACTCAGAGTATTTTTTAAACTTTTTTAAAATGCACTAGTCTTGGATGGATAAACAAGTTCTCCTACAACATAAGCTAAAGAACTCTGCCTTGTATAACGAAACTCACCATTGAAAACGTTCCTTCTTGCAGCTTAACAGCCTGTAGCATTGGTCAGTTTGCTTCCCTTCCTGTTTCATACTGCAACAATAAGCTTTAAGACTCCCAGGTTTATGGATATTAAAGTCAGCGGATTTCCAGATGATGGGAATTCCAGTATCAATACATATTACTGGAATTCTCTAACATTGTAATGATTATTTATTTGCTATCAGTGCTGTTGCCTTTTGTCATTACATTTCTGCCTGAGAAAGCATAGACCTTTTTCTTAAAGCATATGCTATAAATATTTTATATATTGGGTTTTTTGGTAAAATGATTGTAGGGGAAAAAAACTTCATGTTATCAAGGAGGGCTAATTATACTGCACTGTGTTTTAACAATGCATATTTAATAGAGAAAACTATTCCAGTATATGTAGAGATGTATTTTTCAAATAATCTTAATAACACATGAAGGCCAAACACTTAGGGATTCTGTGCTATTAGCCAATGAGGCTCTTTAATTGGATTCAAAATTACTGAGTAATTGAATTAAATTCTTTTAACAATGTGAATAATGTATGAAATAATAAGTTTGAAAAAGTGACTCCTAATTATTCATTGGAGAAAATTAGAAAGTATTCTTGAAATTAACTTGGTTCTGTTGCAAATTGGCCCATGACTTTTTCCTATAGAAAGCTGGATCATCAATGGGATTTTCCTCCAGAATTAGGTCTTGTTCTACATATCAGTGTCTAATTTTGTGTAGTCTACATAAGTGGCTTGTGTTTTCATGGAAGGTTATTGTAAATGTCCCACTAACAGTATTATGTAGTATTTTTAAAACTCAAAGGTGTCTGTTACTTGTGAGAATAGATTTCTTGACATGCTGTAATGCTGGTATTGAGAGTCATCTGACATCTAACGTGGTTGTGGGCCCTCCTTGGTGTCCTTGCCAGGGTCACAGATGCAGTTGCAAGTTAAGAAAGCTGACCTGCAGTACATCTGGAGGCTGCTAGGCTGGGGAAGGCTGATGTACCTAGGTATCTGGTACAACCCACAACGGTATTATCAAGGCAAATTATGCAAATTATGTAATTTATGCCAGTTGCATCATGACACCTATGATTATGCTTCCCACCACTCACAGACACCCATTCTGATGTATCTAAAAACTACAAAAGTGAGCTTTCCTGTTCAGCATATTCTACACACCCCAGCCTGAATAGAGAACTCCATGTTATCTTTGGCTAAATGCACAAGGAAGGTGAGCTATAGTTAAAAGAGGACTGTCTTTTCATGGGGGAACAATGGTTTAAGAGGCACAGTATTTCTTGAAGGCTCATCAGAAGAGAATGAGAAGCAAGTGTTTGAAACACAGAAGTTTCCGTTGAGTCAAGCTCAACTCTTATGACTTCATGGACATGTCCAGGCAGTTTTCTTGGTAACAGTACTGAAATGGTGTGCCATTGCCTTCTTTTGGCATTTTTTTTTATTCTCCAGGCTAGCCTACTGAGCTGGCTCTTCCTTATAATCTGAACCTACTTAGTCTTCTGAGAGCAGCCAAGTCAACAATTGATTCTACTATATCCTCTGGCAGGGCACTTTTCCATTCCGGTGAATTTTCTAAGAGGTTTTTTTTTTTTAAAATATCAGAGTGGGTAGGGACAGCACTTTTAAAAGTATGAGTTAGCCAAGGGTTCTCCCAGTTTCACTTAGCCTTTAAAACTCCCAGTAGGAAGAGGCTTCTTCTTCCTTCTCAAGTATTAACTGAAATGATATCGTGTGCTTCCTTGCAAAGAACTTGCCACTGCGGTAGATAGCTAGCTAGCTAGCTCGCTCGCGGATCCCTCACTGCCTCATGCTTCTTAAAGATGTAAGCGCAATCCTCACAACTGTTCCTTCCCTTTTGAGGAAGAAATGGATGCTAGCCAGACATCATTATTTATTATTATTTATTATTATTTATTATAGATTCTTCCCAGTAGCATGTGTACAATAAAAGCCAGCTAAAAACTCAACACACACACACATATGCATACATATCCATTCAGTAACCAAGTTACCTTCAGTGACAATCAAGTGTCATCACTTATCCGTAATTTTGCTTATGGCTAGCATTTATCCCACCACGCATTTCTCTGGACGTGAAATCTTCAAATCTAATTTCAGAGGAACTTTGAACTGGAATTCAGTTATATCCCTACCCCCTTAATTCTGTCCATTCTTTTGATGTTGTCAGCTACAGGTCAGTCTGCTGTACCTTTTAATAGTCCACGTGCTCTATAACTTGAAGATATATATAGAGCTTAAATAGGATCAATGATAATTCTATACCAGGTGATAGATGATTTCTTCCTTAGGGCCAATACTGTCCACTTTTTGGGTCCTTGGGAAGGTGGGTGTCTCATCATCTGCTAGTTGATTGTTTTTAAACTAAAGATGTCTTGGAGTTGTGTCTGGGATGTCATGTGTGCAGAGCATCTGCTCCATTAGCTAGCTGTGATCCTACCCTGTCCAAGATACTAGAGCGGTGTTTCTCATCCGTGGCAACTTGAGTACGTGTGGACTTCAACTTCCAGAATTCCCCAGCCAGCCATGCTGGCTGGGGAATTCTGGGAGT